CCCTAGACTCAAAACATTTCTCCTTCCTTCCTTCCGCCCCCGAGTCACAGCTGCAAGTCCAGTTAAAACCCAGTGAAGTCAAAGGAGTGTCTTCAATGGATTCAGTGGGTTTTCAATTGGGACCTGATGGACTAATAGAAAAGCTGGAGGAAACAGTTATTCAAATGGACCCTTAGACTGTGAGGTGGCTAAGCAAGAACAGTTGTGTCTCCAAGAGCACAAGGGGCCATATCTTAACATGCTGTCATAAATTCAAATATGTTTTAAGACTAAGCAATAGAGGAGAACATGTACTGGATAAAGCTCAAACCTTTAGAATCTAACAAGTGCACTCAAGCTCCAGCATCTATTAAAGTAAATTATCCCCCTCTAAGAAATACAAAATGAGTAAGTGCTTCCCTTCCCCTTCTGTAAAGCTTTCTGGACTCATTACACAATCCAGATAATCAGAAAAGAAAAATAGTTTGCTTAGTCTGACAAGCTAAATTGGCTCATCATCACTGAAAATTGTCATGATGTACATTACCAAGACATCATTAAGGAAACATGAGTAAAACACCTTTTTATTCACACTTTACAAAAAAACCCCAAAAAACAAACAGAAAAAAATAACACTACGCATTAAATCTACTACAGCAATACTACCAGCATTTCAAGGTACTGATTATAAACTGGACATGTTTGGTGTTTTTACAACTAAAACCAAAACAAAATAACCCCAAGAGATCAGGTCCCAGACAAGGATTCAAGATCAAAATTTCTCCTATTGAACTTTTAAAATGTACATTTTACACACCCGAGCTGTTTGCCATTTTCACTTTGAGCTGCAAACAGGACGGTTCGAGCACACTTGTGTGCTGACTACTTTGCAATAAAATTTTGAACCATTATTACCAATTCACTCTCTTATGTATAAAAAAATTCACAATATTTAGAAAGTTTTCTCTTAATGCTCAGTGTCCTTTTGCTTCCCTGCCCGCAGCTGAAACAAAAGCTGTTTAAGACCAAGCTCTCTATCTCCATTATTTATTTTTTTACATCAATTATTCAAGTTGTATTAGTTTAAGGAGATGATAAATTCTCCGTTTTAGGATACAAACAGACAAGTTCAATTTGTAAGCTGTTATATACTTGGCTTCATGACACAAATGGCACTGAGGGTACACTATCACTTCAGTCTTGCTTGACACTTTAAAATAAGACTTGGTCACTTTAAAAGAAATGATCTGAAGAATTGTCTTTGGGACCTGTATTGAAAATGCAATTATTTTACACTGCTTCATCGATAGAAAATGTAGGGCTAGGTTTTTATCTTCAAGGAATTATACTTTCTGAAACTGAGGAACACACTTAAATGAATGAGAATCCACATGATAAGTAATTCCTAGTGGGAAAAACGGCACTGTGCAATGACACCCAAAGAAGCAGTGCATGGGCATTAGAAGCTAGAAACTGTGTACCCATAACCTGAACATGTTCCAAAGTGTGATATTCAATGCTTCACAAAGGAAAAAAAAAAGATGCCACAGCTTATACAAAAGTATCTTCATAAAATTTTCACAAGTGTTAACATCATTTAAAAAAAATAAAAGAGGATGCACAGGATCTCTCTGCATGCACAGGCAGTGCTAGTTGAGAACAAATTGAAGCAGGCACAGTGGAGATAGGATGAATATTTAAAACAGAAATGGAGAAGCTGTACACAAGTATCCCTAGATTTTACTTCCAAAGTTAGGAATGAGTACAATATCTGAGTGTATACACATCAGCAACAACTTTCAATCCATACAGGTCTACTTCTAGTCACTGCTCAGCTTATCTGTTCTGCAAGAACTCTATGCCTTTCTCTTCTCTTAAAAAAATCAGAAATAGAATGTATTTATTTATCTCTAAGAGAATTCAGATTTTACAGGTTTGGATTTTAAAAGCAAAGTTCTCAATTGAACATAAAAAGTAGTATAAAAGGGCTAACGAAACCCTAACAGTGCAAATCATTAGCAGAGAAAACCTGTGACAACCTCTTTTACAAGCTGGCCTTTATAACACATGAAAACAGATAAAAATTTAGCCTTAGTTTACAATACAATCATTTTCCAAATCTGATTTTTCTTTTTTTCTTTTTTTTTTAAAGTACAAAATCTCATAAATCAGGTTTTCTGTTGTTCATATACAATCAATAAAGGCTAAATTCAAATTCTCTATTTTACAAACAAGTCTGAAAAAGGAGGGAGTGAAGTACGGAGAATGTTCTGTGGATGTTCCTACTGGCCTCAAAAAAGTAGTGCTACAGATAACTGTGCAAAGAGAATACACTCTAACAATTCCCTATTTCAAGGCATGACAATGTCACGTTGGAGCAAAGAAACAGGAAGCTTTATTGTAACGTATTAAAGAAAGGTGCAAATGCACCGATCGCTGTCGAACAGTATACAAAGAATCTTGGGCTCAGAATTGTGTCTGTTGATAGCACCTGGCTTTTACTATGTCTTTAGCAAATAATTAGATTTAAGATTAAGATTATTAAGAAAAAAAAAAAATCCCTGTTGGCCATACCTCACTCCTCTATATTCAGATTTTACAATTGTACAAGTTAGATTGAGGTTGCCCTCTAAAATGTGTTTGACTACCTCCTGCCAGGGAGATGGATTCCATTTACAGGAGGCAGGAAAGGCAGCAAAAGCTCCAGTTGTGCAAAAAGTGAGAAGTGGTCAGAAGGGATGAGTGGATGTGGACAACCACTTATATTGTTCTCTATTAACCAATGATGATCCAAAGGTCCAAGAATGCCAAGTATGTTTAGCTGAGGTTTAGAGTAGAAGATGTAGTCAATAATACCCTAAAAAACATGACAGGGAAAATTATTATTAGTATTTATTCTTGACTCAAGTTACTCTTCCAAACAAAAGGACAGCTCAGTGTTACAAGTAACTGAAACACCACATTCCTTCTCTACAGCACATTACCAGTTTAGGAGATTTCTTCTTCCTATATCCCATGGGTTGCTCAGTATAGATTAGGAAAACAAGAAAAAAGCCCAACCAATATCCCTTCTGCTATGCTTCTGTGGGTTGTAATTTCCAACCTCCTACACAGTTTTGAATCACATTTAGCTGATTTTGAAGAAGAAAAAAAGCCATCTTTGTTTTCCCTCGGCAAAGGAGAACTGAGAGTTTTCCAGAAGAAACATGGATTATTTCCTTGCAGTTGACAGCTTAAGTGCCCCTGTTGTACTGTGTCATTTAGCTTGGAGTATTAAAATACAAACTCTGTTATATATATAAGAAATACTGTTTACAGGGAAAGCTACCAGCACCTCAACTCTTGCAGATCTCTTGCAAGTTACCAACAATAACAAGGAAAATCTAGTTTCTAGGAGACAGAAGTGTTGGGTATTCTAGTTTGCTGTTTTAAATATAAACCTGGTGAATTTCATTATCAACATAAACAGATTAACTTATTTGTTAAACAACTTCACACAGCAAATCACATTAGTTACACTTAAAACCGGAAAACTTTTCCAAAGTATCAGCCAAGTCCTTACCTTGAAGTCAAATGTGTAATTTGTGTAAGGCATTAGACCATTCTCATAGGCACTCTTCAACTTGAAACCATGTGTAATTCTTCCATTTGTTGTCCCATTCTTTCCATTGCAGCTGAAGTTAGTAAGACTTTCGTTGTATCTCAGTTCCTTAAAATCTTTGTGGTTTGTTTCCACTCCACCAGTGCTCAAGTACTCAACAACACCTATTAACAGACAGACACACACACACAAGAAGGTCATCAGCATTCAGCAAATAAGTGTGTGTAAGTACCTGAAGTCGTATGTGCAACTTTATGCTTTATGTAATTAACACCTTAACACATACACAGCAAGAGTCAACTAGTTCTTTTAAGATACTGCAGGACAATGTATCTGTCTATTAAGAGCAAATGTCACCTAGAGCAAAGAGATATGCTTTGATTAGAAAAGAATGAGAAGGCTAATAAGGAATAGATTGGGAAGGGGAAGATGAGAAAATCAGGAGTTCCATCAGTGCTAGGTAGTCAGCTTCCTCCTCTCCTTGCTTCTATGCTCAGGTCCTGCTTTTCAATGTTCTTCAGCTAAAACACTGCAAAAAGCCAACTCCTGGAACAGTGCTTCAAATAAAGTTAACTTGAAAGAGAATGCGAAGCCAAACTGACAAGATTTGTGTCACGAAAACTATGATTGTTTCAGTTTCAGAATAGCTGTGTAAAGGTTCTGGAAGGTAAAAGAAGTAATTAGCTGTTCTGAAGATACAATGAGCCATGTGAACTGGTCATTGCAATCACCACTAGTGACACTGGCCTTGCTGGGATCAAAAAGAATCCAATTTCCAGTATTGTCGAGCAGTAACTGCTCCTCTCAACCCTAACAAATGTCAAGAGTTGCCAAGATGAGGCCAGAAGGAAAAGGGACCAGGAAAGGAGATTACTGTATTGAACAACCAGCAATAAGAAGGAAGGATGGCTCTTGATTTCAAACTTCAGGTGGCTACCTGAGAAAGCCAAGGCTGCAATCAATCTGCTTTATTCTTGCACTTCATAAAATTGCCACCAAGTCAAAAAACAAAGTTCCATAAGCGTAAAGAGCTCTGAAGAGTCTCCTTCTGCAGGGGGATGTATTGAACTTTACAAGTTTTGAAACACTGGGACTACAGAATACCATTTTATGGTGGCAGCTTTAAAGATAATTCCTTATCTTCTCACACTTCAACTTAAGGAAACCCAATTATCAGCAACACACTCATGCTCCCAGTTATTTTTGGAAGATGTTTTTTTCCTTTCCATTCCTGTATTGTAAGATAACAGTGGACCAGACATAGCTATACTACTGCATAGGCAATAAGGTTACTCCCAAATGAAACAATTCTACCTTCTCTCTCTTCTTTCTATTCTCTTAGCATCTTTAGAGCTTACACTAGCAACCAATGCATTCTCTAAGTTGAAAACTCCTTAAAAAAGCAAGAACTTAAATTGTTACACACTTGAAACAGTCTGAAGAATAAGAAATGGAACTCTTACCAGAGTCTGGCAGGGAATTGAGATCTGCACACAGTACAAGTGGAATGGTTCCAAGTTCTCCTGAAACACCAGGTTTGAGACTACGAGAGGCTTTGTCAATAATGTTCTTGACCTCAGACAGGAACATCATAGTCTGAACCAGCTTCACATCAGAATACTCTGGGTCCCAATGCATATGAGCATTAGCTACAAGAACTAGCTGCTTTTCCAACCCAAGATGTGGCTTTCCAGCTAAAATTCAAAATCAATTCTTTACTTTACACGGTCAGCAACAGAAAACAATGAATTTTAAACAAAATGCCTGAGGGAATGAAAGAACAAAATACCTCTATGACCTGGAGAGGGTTAATGCCATTTAAATGAAGAGGGTCATACAGCTCCTCTTACATCTACCAAGTGCTTTAGCTGATATAAGGCACTAGGAATGATGTTTTGCATTCAAGACCATTAATGGACCAACCAACTTGTTCCACGTAATGCTTAGGTACCCAAGAGTAATGTGAATTAACATAAAAACCAGATAATCCTAATTACAGGCAAATAGTTTGTTCTGAAAAATGACAACAGTTTTCCTCAGGCTGTGACAGTGAACAGACACTGCTCACGTCTCACTAGGCAATGAGCTCTGAATTCCAAGCTCCCCACACCCTAAGTCACCTCTCCTGCTAGAAGTGTTTCTTAAAAGGCTTGTTAGAATCTGAATTAATAAAATATCATTTGGATAAATATACCACAGGTTGAGGAGGTTCCCACTGCGATACTTATAAAGCCAATTTACATTTCCCAAATGAAGACTGACAGGGCAGAACAAACAGGTTGTGTAAGCACTGACAGCAAAGAAAACAGTAAGTTAAATGATGCAGATACATGATCCAGAGACATAACTAACACTGCCTTGATTCTTGGATACCTGTATGTAACTTCAAGGAAAAAAAGCAAAAACAAAGGAAAATCCAACAAAATCACTCTAACTCAAGTTTGGGGTTTTTTTTCCTTAAGAAATATAAGTGGGAAAAAAATTAAATCAGTGTTTAAGCAATTACTTTTCCCCCAGTCCTCTTCAGACATACATTTGTCTGAAAGCTATTTTCATCTGCAGGACAGAGCTTCTCTTGCTTACTATAAACAAAAGTCAATTTTTTTTTCATTTACAAAATACAATCCATTAAAAAAACCTAAACCAAACAGGACTTACATGACATTTCTATCAATTCCTTTCGCAGCTCTAACAATACAGCAACTCCAATGTTGTCTTTTGTCATAACTCTGTTCAGCATAGCTTCTGAACCTTCTGAGTTTGCCATTGCTAGCTGATTGAACTCAACAGTATGTTTTTGAACCAAAGTAAATCTGAAAGAAAAACATCATATATACCCTTTTCAGCAGCCAGATACAAGAGGAAACAGTTTCCAGTTCAACAGGTTTAATAGAGAGGAACGTAACAATTTTTCTAAGCCACTAGGTATCAAACTTGGCACCTATATCTAGTTATGGACAGAGGAACAGAAGCAGGAAGGAATGTTTGTATCCTCATGTCCAAACAGTTGTACAAGAGCAGTATCAAACCAGCAGCAAGTGCTGCAGCTCTTAAAGGGTTATGATTTTTTCACAGAAGCATGAAGTGATACCAAGTGCCTTGTCTTCTGCTTTATCAGAAGGTTAATGCATCAAAAAAATCAATGTCACTGAGGTCTTACTTCAGCAGTTTGGGGGATTATAAATTCCTTTACTCAAAACCCCCCCAAAAAAAAAAATCAAAAACCCAACCAAATACACCCAAAGCAAAAAAAAACCAAAACCACAAAAAACCACAAAACTTTGTTTTTCACTATTTCCTTCATTATTTCTTTCATTTCTCATTATTACCACCTACCTAGTAGTTGGGACACACACACTCAACAACTGAAGTATAGTCTAGTGAACCCCCAAACCTGCACTGCTCAAACAGAATGAAATTTCAACTTAAACCAAACTTAAAGGCAAGATTTTTTTTCTTGCTAGCTCTGCACAGAATGGTTTAGAAAAGAAACTCAGGCTACAAAAGGGCAATTACTGCCAAACTGTTTGAGCTCTAGACTAACCTGAGAAATTATGTGAAAGACAGCAAGAGACAACAGAAGGTTTTGCAAACCACATAACTTACTTTTCTGTCTTGAAAAATATTGCACAACCATCAACATGTTTTCTTTCCTGTTCTGACATTGTCCTAGCTCTAGATTTTGGAAGAAACTCAGGCTACAAAAGGGCAATTACTGCCAAACTGTTTGAGCTCTAGACTAACCTGAGAAATTATGTGAAAGACAGCAAGAGACAACAGAAGGTTTTGCAAACCACATAACTTACTTTTCTGTCTTGAAAAATATTGCACAACCATCAACATGTTTTCTTTCCTGTTCTGACATTGTCCTAGCTCTAGATTTTGGACTGAAGAATCCATTATAGCCACGTTCTTTCAATTCTACCAGGAAAAAACTGTAGTATTGTTCCGTTTCAACCTCCTGTAAAGTTATAAGGAAGCACAGCATGAATGTACCATTAGCAAAACACGGAAGACTGATATTATTTAGACTCTTCAGAAGTGCAAATCACTTTCAAATTAGATTTAAGGGGAAAAAAATAAATCTCAGAATTAAGTACATCAGAGAATGCAAATTTGAGAGTGATATCCCTGTTTTAAGGAAATATAAATGAATTTCTGTAATCCCTGGAGTTATGATTATCTCAAGCCTCTTATTTGAAAATGTGTCAATTCCAGCCCCACATACCCAGGCAGGCACAAAGACACCCCCACTTACGTTTCTTTGATCAGGGGCTGCTGGTTCCCCTTCCAACTGTGTGGGCTGAGGAGCATTCTTTTGATGTCAAGCAACGTTCTAAACACCACACCTTTTTTTTTTTCTTTTGTTTTCAGAAGGTTTTGCAAACAGACCATTTACTATAAATACACTGAACGCAAAGAAACCAACTCATGGGAATAGAGAAGGGAAAGGAATAATGGTGTAGCTTTTACCTGAAGACTTATGATGTCAGCATTGCAGCTCAGGATTTCCTGCATAATGGCTTTTTTTCTGTATTCCCAGTTCAAGGCCCAAGATGGACAATAGCCATAGAGCTGCCGGGTAGCATATTTATCACAGAGGACGTTGTAACACATGACAGAGAACAAGGCTGCAGAACAATAATTTGACTCACACACTGATACATTTTAAAAAAACCTACCAAAAAACCCCCAAACAATTATATTCTTCACTTTTGTCTTCTGCAAATTTATCAATTCATGCTTCATTTCAACCAAAACACACCATGTGTATCCACACTAAGAAAAAAATAAATTGGTAGGCCTTCTAGCGAGCTAAATTACAAGTTTGGACTTATGGCAGCTGTCTTCTAGCATTTAATTAGGAAACAAACACCCCCCTGTACATGGTTAATGCAGTAAACAGCAGACAAGTGTATTTTGTGCCAAGTGGTGCTGTACTCTGAAAAGCCCAAACCAAGCTGAGTGTATTTGAGCACTTATCTTTAGCAGCTATACAAAGGTCTGCAAGTCTTCAAATAGGTTCTTTAAAATCTATCTTAATTATTGCCACCATGAACTGCAACAGATCCATAGGCAGGGTAAGGATCCCTTTGCACAAAGGAAAAGTATAGGCGAAATAATCCCCCAAATGTTTCCACCTTTAAAAACTTACAAATTCAGGTCTCGGACAACAAACACCTACTCACTGCATTAATTTGGATCAGGAATAATGAGGAGACAGTTTGGGGCAACCTGACAGATAATCCAGCAGCAGGGATTTGAGAGGTTGCTTCCTTGGGGTTTTTGGGGGTTGTCTGATTTTAAAAAGCACATAAGGAATTTGCAGTATGACAATGAGATACTTGGAAGCTTAATTGGAGCTCCTTTCAAACAGGGAAAAAAGAAACAAGACCACTGTTTGAAGATATAGCAAATTGAGGCAACAAACTAGAGCTGACTGGGGGGTCCCAGCCCAGCATTTTGAAAATAAATACATAAATAAGACAAGCTGCATTTACAGTGCCTTAATAATATCAACAGGGGAGTAATGTACATCAGTCTTGAAAGAGAGGACATTGCAGTAACTGAGAAATACACTAAGATTTTTGGTGTGCAAGTAAATAGAAAAGATTGTATTTTAGGTAATTCATGCAAAAAAAAAAATTAAAAAATTAGTAAACAAATAAACATGACCTGAATCCCAACAGTGAGAAAAGAGCTGAGTCAGAGATGATACACTGGTTACTTTAACAGAAAAAACTTCCACATTTTTTGGAAGTTATGCTCCTATTCTTCCATTTTTTTTATTCTTCAACGAATGTTAAATTAAGCCTGTTATAATTCCACTATTTAACTAATTGTGGACAACAGTCTCAATTCCTGTGAGGAGGAAGTTAATTAAAAAGAAATTACTTTAGAGTAAAAGATGGGCAAATCTGGAACAGGTGTTCCAACTGGGAGAGAACGACTTCAGCTGGCTGGACAGCACTGCAGAGACAACTAGATAATTTAAGCATGAGTTTTTACTTTTTCAGTAAAGATCAGGAGCTTTTACTAAAAGGAAAAAGGAAGAAGAAAGGAAAAATCCTTCAAGTGTTACAGTACCTGTTGGTCTTGTACGATCTGGTTCTTGCAACATAATCCAAGATCTTGGAGGTGGCTGTTCTGTCGAAACTATGGAAACAGTTTAAAGTAGAGATACAACAAGTGATAATCACATTTATTTTACACAACACAAATAGATGTTTTAAGAATGATCACTTACTTCTTTTTGCAGTACCTGCCAAATTATCAAGCAAATAGTTCAGTAGCCTTCGTGTCCCATCTGGTTCCTGATACAGGTTCAGAATATCCTGTGTAAGTGGGTTTCCTGCAAACCAATTCACAGAGACACTGAATAAACTATACAAAACTGCCACAAATTTATATATCAGTGCTTAAACCTGCCACCTTGAAGAAAAGATATGAATCTACTATGAGCTACATTGGGGTTTCAGATCTCAGGTCTTCAATCCCACATAACACTGGATGTGTGGATAGCTCTAGTGAAGTTAACCACATTATCTCCTGAGTTTGCCCTCAGACCAACCACCCCAAGGGCAGTCCCTGGGCCTAAGAGCAGTTAAAAACTGGTGTGGTACAACACCCATGCAGAGCTGATGAGGCCAAACCCAGGAGTCACCTCTGCTCACTTTGCTTGGCTGAGTAAACATCCACCATCAGTTTATCTGCCAGTCAGATCTGAGCAGAGACTCTGCCATCTGCCAAACATAAGCAGATTGCAGAAGCTGTCACGGACAACACACACTGCAATTACCCAGTTCTGAGGCAGAAAGAAAAGCAGTCTCCAGACTTAACAGTGCTCCTGATTTTGTGCCTCAAATTCCCCAAGGTCAGCAATTTTATAGCTAGAATCCATACAGTTTAGACAAAAAAAAAATTGGGAAAAGACTTACATTGCTGCTTGTATAAACAGCACAGTATCCTGCAGCTGTACAAAGCACATTCCCTCTCTGGTTGGAGATGTACCTAGAGCTAACTATAGGCTATTGCTTAGTTAAAGCAGCACTCCATTCACCCCTATGCAGGCAACAGAAAGCTTCTGCTCACCCTGCAAAAAGAGCAGCAAACCCCTTTATATGTGCACTGCTTTGCCAAACTTGTTATTTTTCTAAATAATCGCTAAATAACAGTATTTATAAACGTGGAGTGAGCAGCAATCTAGGACTGCTGATTTGATGAACTGACAGTCTACAGCCATTACAACTCAGAAATGCTATCACTAAACAAGCACAGAGACCAAGAAAAAAGCAGTAATACCTTTCAGCCCCAAAGTCTGTAACTGGAACAGTTTTCCCAGCTCAAAAGGTAAAACTCGTAACAGGTTGTTATTTAAATGTAGTTCCCTGTAGACAGAGCAAGCATATAGGGCTGAAAACAGAGCAACATTTGTCTGCAGCTGTACAAGAACTGAACTAGAAGAGAATCAATATCCTAGCAAACCACAATATTGAAAAACTCAGAGACTAAACAGCCATAGTTTGGAAAATCCTGCTGTACTCAGACATACACACAGACAAAACACATATTGCACTGAAGTGCAGAGGAAAGGAGCTGTTTGGTGAGTTTATCTTAAACAGTCAGATATTGTGCAAACATTAGCAATAATGAAATTATATCTACAAGTGATGAAGTAGTAACAGCTCAGACAAACCAGACCATAAAACAGTTCGGCTATGATTAAAGGCCAAATAAAGGGAAATTATATCCCTAAAAACACATAAAAGTCCATGATCATGGCAGTATCATTAGAACTATGACATTACCATGCAACAGTCATTTACAACAGTAATTTTCTGTTCGTTTTGTTGGTTTTCTTCTTGTAATTTCAGTATTAAGACAAAATTTGTGCTAACTTACAAAACCAATATGCAGACAGGAAAAGAATTCATGCCCTGAATTCTGATATCCCAACAAACTGGGCAGAGAAAATGGACTTGTCAGGAGCTTTTCACTTTCTTAAACGCATTCCCACTAAGCAGTGAAGACTTTCATAGAATCATCGTCAATATAAAGTTGCTGCTTCAAAGTGTTTACAACTTGCTGCCTAGAAACTTGAAGAGTATTTTTGGGCAACAAAAAAGGAAAGAAGAAAGAACGAGAAAAAGGAAATCTGGATGCAAGAGTTACCTAAGCTCGTTTAGATTTCTACAGAATAGTGTCTGAAGCTGTCAATGTCTTTCTTGCCATGAGAAGCCCAAAACTGAACCCAGAATCCGAGGTGTGGCCTCCCCAGGGCTGAGTACAGGGGATGATCACTGCCCTGGTGCTGCTGGCCAACGACTGCTGAAATGAGCCAGGATGCCACTGGCCTTCTTGGTCACCTGGGCACACACTGGCTCATGTTCAGCCATCCTCGACCAACACCCCCAGGTCCTTTCCCTCCGGGCAGATTTCCAGACACATTTCCCCCAGCCTGCAGTGCTTCCTGGGGTTGTTGTGACCCAAGGGCAGGGCCTGGCACTTCACCTTATTGAACCTCGTACAATTGGCCTCAGTCCATTGATCCAGGCTGCCCAGATCCCACTGCAGAGCCTTCCTACCCTCCAGCAGATGAACATTTCCATCCTATGTCATCTGCAAACATGCAGTCAAGTTCTTTCAAGCGTATCAAGAGAATCTGTTTTACAGCTGAGCTTTCAAGGATAACATGTTACAGTGTTTATTTTTCCTTCTCCTTCTACAAAGATCAAAAATCCCAGTGCTCTGACACCTCTTTTTTCAACTACCTGCAGTAAAAAGGGAGATGAAAGGAGCCTTGGGTGAGCTCTGCTGTACAGACTAAACCCAGAGCTCCAAATGTGGGAGCTGGAAAACCTGTCACCAGCTCTCAGTGGTGAGAGCACAAATGATTTCTGTGGCTCAGCATATCAGCAATGCCCAGTGTTGAATTACCCTTAGTTTGAACAACTTCCCAGAAGCCATGGGAAGTGTCTGCAGTAAGAGCCAGCCTGAAACATAAAACCCTGGCCCAGCTGAGACCTGCAGTGAGCTATCATGTAGGATGTGCTTATGGGTCTTTCTTCACTTTCACCACAGTGAAAAGAAACCATGGACCAGCTGCAATTACTGAGGGCAGAGAGAGTGCAGTGGATTAATGCACAGCTTTGCACATCTAGAGATCTGGACTCCAGTATTATGTTTAAGTCATAAATAGAAAACTAGTGTGATCCTAGACCTTAGCTACACATCTCACAGCCACAGGATTTAGCCTTCTCTACTCAGAAGATACTCAGGACTTGGAAGAGCTGAACCTTCATAGAAACAGCGAGAAGAAATTGGGAAAAGTGTTGGGAAGAGGCACAATAACTTCTGACATTATTGATGACTCCACACTGCTAACCTATCTCCATGTCCCAAGTATTGCATGTACAAAAATGTTTTGAAAGGAAAAAGACTGAAATGATGCTGGTGAAGTGTGAGAATATTCCAGTCAATTTAGGATTGCTAGCTCATAGTACCCAAGGAGTGGATAAAAGAGGAGAGAAACCTGTTACTACTGACTGCTTTTAATTGAAATAGCAATGCAAAAACCTAGAACAGACTATTTCACAGCTGAAAACAACTACACAACACGCTACAAAACAGAGCTGCCAATTATGCTTCAAAAAGCAAGGTCCCTTTGCTCAGCCTCCAAGGTTGAGACTTTAACTGCTCTGGAATTTGAGCTTTTAGTACCAATTTAATCAGCAAGTTTAATCCTCCCCAACTGAGCAGACTTTTCTAAAGGAGAAGAAAATGCAATGACAGATACTTCTATGTGCAAACTTGCTTTGCTTCCAGTCTCATGAAAGCTGTGCTGGCAATCCATTTCTCTATCATGGCCTTTACTTTTAATAACATTCTCTTTACTTTTAGTCTCTGTGTTTTCTGGATTTGAGAAAGCTGTTCATAAATGTCTTTGAAATTAACAGCAATGAAGGCAATTACTGGCAACTGTCTAATAAACCTAAGATAAAGCTCTTCCTTTGGGTCAAGGGCAAAAGACTGTTGACTGCAAATATTTAGTAGTATATAAATAATTCATATGTTTACATAACAGTGTTCCTACAAAGTGAAATGCTGCAGCCTTAAGAATAATCTAAATAGGCATCACTATTCATGTTCTACTTCCAAAAGGAGTTATCATTCCATGCTAGCTTTGCACATCTTGGCACTGTAAAACTGAAGGGGAAAAAAAAAAAAAAAAAAGAAGACAAAAAGCTGTGTTTAGAACAGTTTTCTGTTCCTCCCCAGTTTGCACAGGAATGCAATTACATCACAGAAAAGGTGGGGAGGAGGTGATACTAGACATGTTGCAATTGTTAAACAATAAAAAGAGTAAGAACTAATGTTAAGAGTAATTACTAAAGAGGAAAAAATTGTAGTTAACATGATTATAAATGTTTAATCTGACCCTTCTCCTACCTTACTATGAGTTAAAAGCAGGAGTTTTTTGGTGCATCAGTTACCCTCAGAAAAAAACCACCACATAAAAGACTTGTAAAAGAGCCTGGAAAGCGATGCCTGAGAGGAAATCTAACTTGGAAAAATATAAAACAGGTGATTGCCATCAAACCAAGCACTTCTGAGGCTCATTCTATGCTGTCACACGTCAGAACAGGAGATCACAGAAAAGCCATCAATGCTATAGCTGCACAGACCACAGCAAGGATTCAGGGAGACAGATAAAAGAAGGGAAGAAGGGGGAACTCACTTAGGCTTTTCATTTACTAGAACGTAAAAATTCTGCTACAATTTAAACTGTTGCTACAAAGATAAGAGAAGAACAATTTTAACTCCTGTTAGGATTTACAGACCTGAGTGACACCATGTTTCCGAGCTCTGCTGGTAAACTGCGAATTTTATTAGAGGACAAGTCCAGATATACCAGATTGTGAAGCTTGGCAATGTCTGAAGGAATACGGGATAAGGAATTGTCACTGAGATGCAAAGCTGTCAAATGGGTCAGTGTCCACAATGATGAACTTAAGCTTCTCACTTTCCCTGTGGAAGGAAGGTACAAGAGAAAATAAAACATTTAAAATCACAGAATATTCAGAGTTTGAAGGGACCCACAAAGATAAATGAGTCCAGCTCTTGGTCCTGCACAGGATATCCCCAAGAATCACATCATCTAGCAATAATAAAACATCCTCAAAGTATTCTGGGGGCAGGAAGTCTTGCTTGGGTTTTGTTGTGGGTTTTATTATCATTATTATTTTATTCAATGAAAATTCCACTAATCACCAATATTACAGATTAAAAAATTTGCCAATGTGTAAGAGAATATGAGGTATTACCAGGGGTGCTTAGCTGACCATGAATTTAATAATTAACAGGGGTCTAAGAAACAGATTTTTTTCATTGTTTGTGATAAAAGATGGTGCTTTGGTTCGCCCCTTACTTCTCTGCAACATCTTTCAAACCAAAAATCTTTATGGCATTAATCCAGCCAAGAACAGATAGAAACACTATATTTAGGGTGACTAAGATGCTTAGTTGAGAACATGGATTTCCATCTGGCATTCAAGTAAAAGCTGTGTAAACTATTGCCAGATATTTTTTAAAAGGTAAGATTTTTTTGTGTAAACTGAAGGGTGGAAACACGAATTTGTGTGACAGACACTGCCACATACAAGGAATGTGAGATATCATCAGAGGGTCTCAAAACATTTATTCTCTCTATGATTCTTTCCCCCCCCCCAACGAGTAGAGCCTTAGATCCTTTTCCATTTACAGAAGTCATCTCACTGTACCAAAAGCTTTTGAAGAGGGATCCCAACTCCACTTTGTCCAAGTCAAATCCCCAACAAAACTCATCAATGTTAAGGACAATCTAGTTGATGTTACACCGACATACACACTTTGTAATTATTTTCCTTAAATGATTTTCTTCAAAATAACACAAGTCCCACTGAATGCCTGAGGAAAGCCACCTTGATACACACGTATCCAGCACTCAGACCCTGCTAGCAAGAGGTTTAATACAGGTATCATTTTCAGTGAGCTGTAATAAAGTGAGTGGCATAAAAAAGCCTGCAGTGAAAAAGCTCAGGAAAAGACAGTGTGAACATTAATAAAACAAAAATACTGCACATTTTATTTTGCCAAGCAAATACATGCAGTTCTTCAAGGATTCATGCTACTATAATGCTCATTAAGAAACCTTCTGAAAGGTTTTCAACACAAATCAATAGTTCTTTGCATTTTAAAAGCTGAATTAACACCTCTTCCCCACCCCCAATGCAAACAGGTGACTGTGATCAAAGAAACCCTTGTAGCTGAAAGGATTTCCAATCAACATCACTGCTCCAGCCTCTCTACTACACCACCTCTCCTGGCTGGAATCAGTGTGTAGTGAGATTACCAGGCATGAAAGGAAAGAGCCATCACTTAATGCACTTCCTATGCAGAGCAGCAGATGTCCAAGAGGATTCCAGGCCTAATGCTGATGTATAATGCTGATTCCTGAAGCAGCATTTAACTAGGTTTCTGCATCTGTAACCTTCAGTAAAGAATGCTATTCACATGGTAAGGCACGTGGCACTGGCAGCAAGGCAGAGATGCAATGAACTGGATGGAAAGACTCTTCACAATTTGAAGAACTGTATGTTTATTCCTTCTTCCATAAATTTCTGTATCGGACAGTCACTTCAAAATACCACATGGCAATTTTTGCAGTCTCTTAAAGAACCTCCATATTTAAACAAAATTTCAGCTTAAGTTTAGAACATGAGAAAATGATTTTTTAATTCTTACAATACTTGCTTGAATTTCCTTGTAAACACCCTTTTTGTGGCAAAATTGGGATTTACTCCACAAATCAAGAGGCACTGGTGTCCCACACCAGCTGCAATTCATGCTTATGAATTCTGAACACTATCTTTTTTCCAAGAAAAGATCCAAAAGTCAACAGTATCTCAAAGCTTGCCCAGTTCTTGGAGGTTTTGGGTTTTGTGGGTTTTTTGTTTGTTTTTTTTTAATCTCAAGAACAAAGCAAAATTTACAACTGCTTTAAAACAAGAAACTTCTGCCTCAACAGAAACTGCCATGGACTAATACCTCACTGTTGTTACATGACTTACAGTAAGAGCACACACCTATAGATCAACCCCAACTTCACTCTCTTAGCTTTGAGAAATTAAATTGCTGATCTCATCCACTCCATCTTCTTAAAGCACAAAGAGCTCACATCCATAACCTCACCTTCACACCTTTCCTACATGTGGGGATTCCCTACCTGCCCCAACTTACCTCTCTCTCCCTGTGTTATCCCAACCCAAGCTCTTCCCTCCACACACCTGCCAGCTGCTGTCCTGGTGTTCTGCTGGCTCACTGCAAGGTAGGTAACTCCACCCCAGACTTCTTGTCCAAGCCCATACCATTTGCAATGAGTTCACAACTCAGGACCATGCCTCAGTTTCTTACCACTTATTTCCAACTCTGCCCAGTGTGATTTCTTTCCATTGGCTGCTTCCTCTGAGGACATAATTGTGTACTAGAGTGATCTTTCTTTTCCTTGTGCATTCCTGTTGAGACAAAAAGACAAGTCGTTATTTGAGGTATTATATACTGAGAATTCTTTAAAAGGTAATTCCCATTCCAGTTCAATTTCATATTGGCTATTTGCTCTGCATTCTTTTCAAACCTACGGATGAAGATGACCAATGCCCATTTACTTCACTGAATGGGAAAGTGTGCTCTAAAATAGAAGAACAGATTTCTGACACTCCTAGAATGGCAGATCACAGCCTAACATCCCACCCAAAAATTTAACAAGCTCTGTGAACAACTCAGACATTGTGTCCCACCACCTCCATGGGTATGCCATGTGTCCTTCAAAACCAGCCCATCCTCCTGCAGGCTCTTGGTTCTTCAACACTGAAGCTTCAAGAAATGATGACCACCCCCACTGGGATTTCATACTCACATAGAACACATTTGCTAGTAACTGTGATTACCTATCAGTTTCAGGTTTACTTCAATTCTCAAGTTTTTACACAAATGAGCATCCAAGGAAGCAGTTAAGGCTTCAAAATGATCCTCAACTCTTTAAGTCTGCAAAATGGTAAGTTTCAACCCAACCTCCATCCTACTCTCAGCAATCTGAAAATACTGTACCCAAGACAGACATTTCTATCACTTTCTCCAGCCAGGTATTTAAAACTGAAATTTATCTCCATTTTTCTCACTCTTTTACACATCAATCCTGATAACTTTAAAAGTAACATTTATTCCTAGGTTCTTATTTCTTTTTACTATATCCAGTCATGGACTATGAGAGGGAAGTAGCAAGTAATCCTCTCAAAAAACACCTTCTTCCTCTGAAAAAACACCCTCCTTCCAGGCTTTCCTGTACACCACATATGGTGTTCCACTGCAAAGCAAAAGGGGGGGACAAAAGGGATTCCTGGCTCTATAATAAAGGCCTGTGCCATGACCTTCCTGCACCATGGGACAACTCTCCTCTCTCCCAGGAGAAATACAGCTGAGGTTGAATGAGTTTAAGAGGAAAAGCAGCACATAGATTTTAAGTAACTAAATCAAGACTATTAATTCACAAGTTTGCTTTGTGATTCCAAGTTACATAGGACTTCCAATGTAAACCTCATCTATCACAAATAAGGGTAAAGCTTTTGCATTACTCTACATATACCCTAAAGTTTTGATGGCAAATATTTCACTATCTTAAGCTGCCATATCTGAAAACACACAGAAAAGCACAAGCAACAACCTATAAATCTATTTATATGGAACAGAGAAATTGGACAATGCTGGCTCAAATCACATTCACAAACACATTACAAGTAATATTATGCAATTATTCACCCAAATACATTACAGCAATATTATAATACTACCCAAACTCACTCAATAAAGAAGTAGCTATACTGGTCAGACTCCTAACCAGGTCTTTTAAAGCTGTCTCGTTTTTTCATGTCCCTGGACAAAGTGAAAAGTGGTATAATAATGTAAAGAATACACAAAGAATAACTGTTACTAAATAAGACTATCAACCAGCTTTATTATCTGTTTACTGACTCAACTGAAAAAAGTTGACTGTTCATGTTAAAAACCCAACACAAATCCACTAAAAACTTTCCACTAACTAATAATGCATATTAATGAAAATAAAGCTTTCAGGCACCACACACTTACTGTAATACAACAGCTCTTTTACTAATTCACACTCCTCCTTCCTTTCCCACTCCCACTACTGGTCAAAACCAGAGTTCTGCAGTGAAATGAAATTCCCCTTTAAAAAGTGAATTGTGGGTAAGAAGATGAGATTATAAATAGCAGCTGGGTGAGGCTCCTTCCAGAGTGAAGGCACTTGAGTACCCAGGGTGCTGGAATCACCAAGTGTAACACTTTCTTCATCAAACTAAACTCATTAAAGGAGATGAGGCTGGATTACAACCACTGGAAAGGTAAAAACATAACTTCTCCCTGCAGTAACTATGCAACTAGTGCAAGAATATACAGCAAAGTAATGTACAGAGCATCTCTTCTGCAATTATATATAA